AAATCTTGAACCAAATCTTCTATTTCTAAAGGTCTCGCTACGACCTCAGAATCTATAACAGTTCAAGCGGCCCCCACTCGGACCATCCCTAAATCACCAGACTCTATCAAGAATCAGATGAAACACTTAATAAAGCTGCTTGGATCTAGTCAGTTCTCCTTTGACCCGTCGACCTCCTATATTCATCAAGGTAACATTTCTTCTAGTTCGTGGATTATTGATTCATGTGCCACAAACTGCATGACCAAGTGCTCTCAATTCTTCTCGACATATTGTTTGTGCTCCGAGCCAGATACTATCAAAATTGTTAACGACTCCTGTAATTCTATCGCAGGTAAGGGCCGATTGTACTAATAGCCAGGCTGAATTTGGGATTCGTGTTACACGTATCTTTGCTTAAGTTGAGTTATGACATTGATCATCATTTGGGGATGATGATTAGAATTGCTAAGAGAGTAGCCAGACTCTATTTTTTCCAAGAAAATGACATTTATGACATGGACACTCAATCACATAGTTGTATTGTTCCCCTCCTAGTGCTTGTTCGGTTATGCTTTTACGCTGTTGCTTGGGTCATCACAGTTTTCACTATTTAAAACAATTGTACCCTCTAATGTTTTATTGAAAAGTCCACATACTTTTAAATGTAAAATTTGTCATTTAGCTAAACATCATATACCCTATCCATCACATCGTTACACTCTTCCATTTTTACTTATTAATAATGATTTATGGGGACCCTCTCGAACTGTAAGTTACACCAATAAAAGATGGTTTCTTACTCTAATTAATGACTACACTCGAATGACTTGAGTCTGTATACTAAAGGGCAAATCTGAAGCTACAGTCAGCTTCAAAAATTTTGAACTCCTTCATTTTGACTTAATTCAAAACTTTCATTCAAGTCCTTCAGACTGACAATGGTCGTGAGTACTTTAGCTCTATATTGGGAGAATTATTGATGAGTCAGGGCACCCTCCATCATAGCTCATGTACGGATACCTCTCAACAAAATGGGATAGCCGAGTGGAAAAATCGAAACCTTCTCGAAGTGGCTGGTTCCAAAATGTTTCAAACTAATGTCCCTAAATGATTTTGAAATGACGTCGTCATTACCGCCACATATCTCATTAACAGAGTTCCCAAAAAAAATCAACAACTTCTTGGCATCATTATCCATCTTGAAGTTGTGTTTTCCTTGTTGTGAAAAAATGACGGCAATAAAGCGAAAAACTGGATCGAGAAAAATCGCAAAATAGAAAACGCAGTGAAACACACAGATTTACGTGGTTCGGCAAATTGTCTACGTCCACGGAGTTGCAGAGGATTTTATGACTTGAGGATTACACCCGTCGATAGCTTTGACGTTTACAGAAAAGCACTCTCCTTTTCTCTCTCCTCTCCTTTTCTCTCTCCTATCTCTCTCCCATGAGCCACGTGAAGAATTAACCAATAGAAAAAGCGAGCAGCAACTTTATTTCTTCCCTTTATATCAACGCCCAAAAGAAACGAGGTAGCAGGTTGGAATTTCTTCACACCCCATAACTCTTCTTCAATGCATATTTATAGTTTCCAGGTGAGGCCCAATCTTGGCCCATATAAGGAAACGGCTACGAATTTGGAAAGCATAAGGCAGCAGGCGGGAGCACAGAAAAAAGGCCTCATGAACGCGGGAAGATAAAAAAACGCGTGAACGCAGAAAGAGTACGCGGGAACGCGGTTTCGCTAAAGAACAAAATAGAGAGAATAAATGTGATTAGCAAATCAAAATAATTTGCCTTAAATACAGTGGACCGGGCTCCACATATCTCAACAATTCTCCCACTTGGAGACAGTGACACTGACTGCACCACCCATTTTTAAAACATGGGCTCTGCATCCATTATCTCCACCTTCAAAAGAATTTAACTCAACAAATGTCAGCATTAATAATCATAACATATCTCGCTCAAAAGTCAAAACTCTAAGGATATTGATTTGTCATCATATTGGTATATTCTTCTACTTGGTAAGATTTTCAATTTTTGTCATCAACAGTGGCCACAATCACAATAAAGAATATTCTTAAGAAAAAAAAAGATGTTACTATCTAGATGTTATTGTGAGTGAGAAGGTATGCATATCCATGCAGCCCTAATAAAAAAAATGGAAAAAAAAAAAAGAAAAAACCACAACATTGGATGGTTGTAAATGATACAAATTCAAATCAACACAACAATGGCAAGATTAATTTTTTTTGGGGTTTTCTACCCTTTCACATTAGCTGGAGTAGTTGAACGCTTTCATATTAACTTGTCCTTGCAACCAATTGCATGTGAGTTTCGAGTGACAATCACTCTAAATGTAAGAGGACCACTATCATATCACATCATTGACTTCCAAATACCTACTATATATAACAGTGTAGACTTGTGACAGTAATGCTTAATAATAATAAGATTACAACAACTGCTTCAAAAATATGCATGCATGCTCTACAAAGATAAAGTCACTAAACCCCCATACAACAGATCATTTGGTTAGCCCTATAGGTTTTCCTTGTTTGTAACCAGTAACATTCAAATGAACTCAAGCCAATATAATAAAAGAATAATATACACATTCAATGATAAAGAGTATAAGAAACTCACAACACGATCACCATTCAAGTGCCTTAATAGACATGCTCAACTTCTATTGACTACCTCGATTGGGTCTTTTGTTTGAGGCTGATAAGCATTTAGAAAAACAGTGAGAAAACCAAAAGTTCAATACCCACTTATTCCAATGAGTTTTTTTATATAAATAACTTATAAATATAAAATCACTATCAAACAAAATTCAAATCGCCAAACACATAACAACTTCATGATTTATGATTAAATGACTTTCGAAGAAGAATGTGAATGTGAATAATTTCATCAAGAAATAATTAGCCATTAGAAGTTTGTTATAGGGATCAAAATGTATTTTATTAAGAACCTAGGAATGACAGCAAAAACAAGGTCATATATCAGTCAGGCTCATTTGTTTTTTAAACAAATTGCTCATTTAAAGCTCTTTTATCATAAATGAACCAAGTTTAAGTCGAGCTCAAACCAAGCTCGAACAAACATGAATTTAAACAACCCGATCTTAAATCATTATCACAATAGTTCAAATTGATCTTGAGCCGAGCTTTAACCTACTTTTGGTCAATGAGCTCAACCAATTGCCTCCGACTCAGCACTACTAATTTCGTTTGCAAGCCTAATTGAATTGAATAAAGCACATTAGGAGCATTCATGCTTCATAAGACTAAAAGGGCATTCCCATGTTTATTAGGATAAATGCATTAAATAAAGATCAAAATGCACAAAAATGGATGTGCAAAAATAAGAAATATATATATCTATAATTTTAGAATTATAATGAAATCCATGGCGCAAGTCAATCTTTAACTCTTTGGAGTATGATTTCATATCAATTATATGCTGAGTTTGGGTAGGGTTCTAGTTTATTCAAGTTTGGATTACTAACAAAATGTTTTAACAAAAGACATTCCCACCCCTCAAACATGAAATTCACCAAAGAAACAAGAAAAGTCTACTTGAATCATCTTTTAACATCTAATTAATTGGAGAATGGAAAAAATATTAATTAAATTAGGTATTATTACAATATCTAAATTATCGCATGTGCCAATTATTTATGGTAGAAATATGCACTACTAATTATTATTATTTTTTATTATTGAGAATATTCTCTGTTATTGTTTTCCTCTTTATTGTTTTCTTCTCTTGCTATATATAAGAACCTATAAACTTGTACAAGGAGTATAATTCAATAAAGATGTAGTATTTTCCGAGTCTCACCATGATAATATAGTCTCATACGCATGGCCTAGATTCCTCCCTATCTATTCTACATACCTTCCTGCCAATGCTGCAATTCTCGAACTTCCAATCACCATTAGCCTGCTTTTATAAAGCCCTCAAACTACGACCCGTACATGTTGCCAGCTTCTTCCTCCATAAAATCCTCATCTGATTCTCAAATGTGATCTTTCTTAGATGCCATTTGCTTGTCCATCATCTTTGTCAAGAGGACGAAGTCAAAACTTACGTTTTCTTTTTAAGAAATGGAATCCTTGTTGCTCCAAATAATAAGGATAGTTTGTCACCCAAATCAACTCGGAACCATAATCCAAGATTTAGAACTTGCTGACAGAAACCCATCATCAAAAAGGTAGCACATAGCATCATTGTCTAGTGAGGGAACTAAGCTTTAGTCATAATTTCTTGCAAAATATGTTCACCTTGGCAGTCTAATTCTCCACCAGTGATCTGATGGATGGCTTTTATCCTTAGTACATTGACCACTTAAGTGAATGAGTTATATCAATCCTCCTCGTAATGCTATCTATCAACACATCTATTCAAAAATCTTTTATGCATGTTCTCTGACACGGATCACAATGTCAACTCTTTGCCACATTGAGGCTTTGTTTGGTGTAGCTTTCGCTTTATAAAAGATTGTACAAAAGTTGGTTTATGAAAAGTTATGCTTAAAAGTTATTCGGGAACAACAACGGAATAAGAAAAATAAAAAGGACATTTTTTAAAGGCATTTTTATAAGAGTATTACGGTTAAACTGATCATAAATTGAATAAATAGCATTTCCCAAAAAGTAAAGCGTCATTTTATGTGTTTCAAATTAGACGTGAGTTTGTGTGGGCGTTACAATATTAAAATTATTGCATGTGCTAGTTATGTGTTTCAAATTGGACCTTTTTCTAAATTGTATAATTTTTCTTTAATTAGGATATTCTCTTTTATTATATTTTCCCTTATGTTCTATTCATTTATTATATATAGGCACATATGGCTATTATAATTAAGAAAATTAAGCAAATATGAAATTCTTCTGAATTCGCTTCCTTCTAACAAACATTAAGATGATCCAAAACTTACTAGAAAAATAACAATTCAAAAGATAACATGAGGCAAGTTCAAAAGGCAGCCTTGGCTTTAGTAATCACCTTCTACCGGTTGGAAGCAAAAGCATGCTATAAATCATAGGCCATAATCCCATGATGTTCCACAAAGCCACGAGTACTTCATTCATGCGATAGGCATCATCACCTTTAAGGTACAAGAGTTTCTGAATGAAATACACATCCCTATACTGAAACGCTATAGATGTTACAAGGGAGAAAATAGAACAGTTGCATGAAAAAGTAGCCATAAACTTGCCTGAAAGGAAAACCTGATTATAGTTCACACAAAGAGGCGCATGTATGATGTTTTATATCATATGCCATAATAAGTGATAAAATGGTCTGAAGTTACTTGTTGTTCCTAAATCGTTAGAAACAGTCCTAATCAGGTCAGACGGCTAAGATTAGTTATGTGAAAAGATCTTAGTAATAAGCACTCTTTAACAACAATCATATAATAAATGATTCCTATCAGCAATTCTTTAATTGAAACTACAGGCAAAGTAGTGCATCCAAATAACCAATGAAAACAAAAAAAACATGTTTTGAGATTAGACGCCAGCTATTGAGGTTATGCAATTCTAGATTAAAATTCATGCTTTACAAAATGAAACAGAAAATGTTTAACTTTCAGTAATAATTGCAAAATAATTGCATTGAAAGTTAAACTGATTCTGACAAGAATGTAAGTTCAAGTGTGATCAAGATTATTACGCCGCAAGGAACACAACATATCATGTTTTGTTGTTCTCATATCTGATGCAATGGAAAAAAAATAAATTTTGTTGAAGCATTAACACGAGGTGGCACTGTTTTTTTTTTTTTTTAATTCTTTCTTTTTTTTAATTTTTCGAATTTCTCCATCAAATTTTCACAGTTGAATTTCTACATAACTTGGCAAATGAGTTTGTGGTGGTAGGAACTGTTTTGGCATAAAATCAGGAGACTCTTAACTGTTTACTATGTAATGCTTGAGGGATAAGGAGAATCCTAATTCCTGCAAAATGAGATGGCTGATTTGGTTGCTACAAATTACAGATTCCAGATAAGTGCTGAAATTTTTTGTCCCTGGATCTTCATGGGCTTGATGAGGGAGTTAGCTGTGGTTTTTTTGGAAGATAGAAAAGCAGAAATTCAGAAGAGAGAAAAAGGAGTTTTTTTTATGGAGAAAGAGAGAGGGTGAGGGGAGAACGCTGGTCATCACCAAGAGGGATAAGAAAGAAATGCATTTGGCTGGCCATGGCTTTCAATTCATCAGCAACCATTCAATCATTGATAAACAATAATGATTGATGCCACAATAATAATAATTTCTTCATCAAATAAAAAAGAGATTAGAATAAAAGTAAAAAAAGGCAACCAAATCTTGAATACCTATTAAAGTAATAAGGAACTTGACGATTGATCTTGAAAATAAAGACAGTGTCCAGTTGCATGTGAAAGTCGTCACAAAAACTACAATAATCACTCGTAAATCAATCAAATGAAGCCTTGTATCAAGAGAATGTCAGTTGCAAGTTGTGTATGGCTTTGAAAAAAATAAATATTATTATTTTAAACAAATAAATTTGTCTTTGGGCATTAAGGGAATTAGAAAGAAAAAAAAAAGGAATTAGTATATATAATTTTATTTTATCTTTCAAAAATTTAAATAATCAGTAATGGACAACTAAACAAATTAGCAACAAGGAAAACAATAACATAAAGCTGCACCAGTAGGTTGAGTTTTTTTCCTGAAGCATTCTTATGATCTAATAAAATTCTATTTAAGCATAAATCGATAAAAAATTATTAGAAATGCATAAATGTAAATAAAACCTATTTAATATAACTTTTTTAATTATATTTTCAAGATTTCTTAAAAAAAATTCTATATGTACCCAAGAAAACAAATGCATAAAACTAACCAACATCATTTATGCCATAGGGCAAAATCCAAAGCTTGGCGCTTTCCACTTGCACGGAGACATAGTGGGTCAACTCTAAAGTCCTTGTTTTCTAACCTACCTTCAACCCATTCAACATTCCCTAAAACAAGTAAAAGAATGGCTTGAGGTTTGCCTCACCCAAAGTTATCCATAGTTCAATAATAAGCATATATCAACAAAAGGATAATCTTAGATTTGTGTACTCAAATATTGTTTATACCATCATTTTTGCTTTCCTCATTATTCTTCTTAGTCCAAATATTATCCTCTTATCTTTTCATCATGAGCCTGACCAGATTGTAGTCTATCTTTTCCTGAAATATTAGCACATGTATGCTGAATTCAGTACTGGCAAGCATCCTATGGGATTTTTTCTACTAAAGTAGGTCCTTCCTTTTGACCTTTGCACACTGAATTTTAAAGTGACTTTACATTAACATAAAAAGACAAAAAGACGGGCAGACAAGTGAAATCCAAGCCCAATATAAGCTATTTAAATCTAATCACAAAAAATAATTTTTAGTCTTATACATAGAATACGCATAGATTTGATTAAGCACATGCTCAAAATTGCATTAACAAAGTTACCGCACTGAATTCCCTTAAATAGAACCCAAGTTAGACTTCACACCTAGAACGTGACTCATTTGGAACATTTCAACGCTATTCAACAAGGGTAAGGTGGTGAGATGACTTCTACTTACTCATTAGTCCAGTTCAACATGCCAATTTAATAGGTCAACTCAGCCAATCAGTTCAGCTGATCACTAATCTAGACAACATGACAGACTGGTTTGCAAATAAGCTCATCTCATCTACGCGATCGATCAGTTCGTTGAGTTAATTGAACAAGCTCGTCAGTTCGTTGAGTTAATTCAACACGTTTGTTTGACCAATCAGTTAGATGAACGAGATTTACAGATCAATCTGTTATTGGGCAACAACTCCAACTATTTTATTTTTACTTGGAATAATTTATTCATTACTTTTTATGTAGCGACTTATATATCATAGCTTAGACCAACCCAAGTCTATAGCGGATGACATCTCAGCGTATAGGACCCAAAAAGCTCTCTGTAGAAACCACTCTATCATTTTTCCTCTTTGTTTACTAGGTTTTCTTTGTTCTTTACAGCTATTTCCTAGGTGTTGTGTGTCTACAAAAAAATTCAGGACCCATGCAGGATCCAGAAAGCCCACTGTAAAAACCACTCCATACTTAATAAAATACTTAAGAGTTCTCTATCATTTTTCCTCTTTATTTTCTGGTTGTCCTTGTTATTTACAGCTATTTCCAAGGTGTTGTGCGTCTACAGAAAATTCAAGACCCAACAGTTAAACTCTTTAGCAAACTTTTTACTTTTTTATAATCCTCCTCAAGCATGTGAAATTTGCAGAGCACTCCGATAAGTCGTTTTTCTTCTAAAATATCTAAGGCAACAGAATTCACCAGTGTTGAATAAACTAAGAAATCAATAGCAGAGATAGTCCAAATAGGTTTGCTGCCCTTAAAAACTGATAAACCAGCACCCGGAGCCATAAAACTGGCCGAAATTATCCACTCCAGAGAATTCAAACTTTACCGGGGTCTGGTCTGGTGCAAGGCGGAATACGTAGAACATAAGCACAGCCCAAAGCCCGAAGAGCAAAATCGAAGTAGTCCAATTATTCCCAGGGCCGCCGCCATCTCCGCTCCTCTTCATCTCTTCTCCAACAGCGAACCCTGAATCGCGAGCCTCGGTGGAATCTTTGCAAGCCGTGAATTGAGCTCTAGTTCCAATGAAGTTGATCGAAGGGCGAATACTGAGAAAGACTTTCGGTTTGTTTTTCAATAACTGAGTGAAGGGGTCAAAATGTGTGGAGAATTTTGGAAGTTTGGAACGGATTCTAGGGTTTCGGTTACTCGAAGAAGAGGACGGCGGAGGAAATTTTAGGGAGAGGCTGTGGAGTCTGGATAAGAGCATGGTGGAGAAGCTGGGGAGGAAGAAATAGTAATAAGGAATGATCTTGGAGCAAGTCCATTTGACCTCATTTTTGTTTCCTGGTTTTATTTTAATTTTTTAAATATATTTTTATATATTTTTTTAAAAATTATTCAAAACAGTTTAAATATATTCTGAATATTTTTTAAAATATAATTACCTCTATCTAATATTTTTAATTTTAATTAAAACAAAAACTAAAAAAATTAAAAATAACCCCAAATGGCCTCACAATTTTTCATAATGATTTTATTTATATGGAATTTTATATTATAATCTTATTAAAATATATAAAGATAAAATTACATTTTCTATTAAGAATTTATATTAATATATTTTTATTAATATTAAATATTTTAGCATTATATAGGTAAATATTAAAATTTGAGTATTAGATGTAAATAAAACAAAGAAAAACCACGTGCATGCCACATAATTCCTATATATTTATATATTTAGCACATGAATTTTAATTTTTGCATTTATTATATTTTACCAACGTATGCAAATATATATATATATATATATATATATATACATCTTTTTTTTTTTTGTCCTTTTGCTGTTGATATTTGTAATATGTTTGGTAACCATTTCAAGATAAAATGTTTTACCTCTTCTTCTATTGAGGATTATCTTTATACTTGGAAAATTGCTATTTCTGTGGATAAAAATTTGCGTTGGTTTCTCATTATTTTTCTTTGGTTCATCTGAGTGGCGAGAAATGAAGCTAAGTATTGTAACAATTTGTTGGCTCTTTATATTACTGTCTATAACATTTTGGCTCATTTGAAACGAGTCTGTCGTTCCCTATCTTTGTCGGGTGATATTACGCAGCCTAAAATGGGTAGGATGACCATCTTCAGATGACAACCCCCACCTACGGACTGGGTTAAATTTAATATGGATGGCAGTTGGATCTTTAACGCGGCAGGCGCAGGTGGGATCCTTCGAAATCATTTTGGGCAGTGTATTTATTATTTTGCTTCTCCGATTTGTGTCGTCTCTCCTTTGGAGCCTGAAAGTTGTGCTTTTCTTTTAGCTGTTTAGGTTCGGGCTCGCCTTAAATTTACTAAAATCATTTTTTGAGACAAATTCACAAACGCTTATAGATGAGTTCTACAATATCGTTGTCTCGATGGGATTTGCTTGCTAATATGAATCGTATTCGAGATTATATACATCGTTACAATTTAGTTTTTCATTAATCTTTCGTCTACAGAGAAGGTAACTCTCCTGCTAATTGGTTAGCTCATTTGGGCATAAATTTTATTAATGTTAGCTATGACACTTTACCCATGTCGCATCTTCGCACTCTTCTGAATGGTGATCTGCTTGATTCTCCTTACCTTAGATGTTAATGCCTGGCTTTGCAATTGGTTTTGCAATTGGGCAATTGGTTTTTTGTTATGGAAAGGTATATTGTTTTTTAACTATTCTTTCTACGGCATATTCCTTTCAATATTATTTTCGGTCTGGTTGGACTTTCTGGGGGATGCATTAAATGTTTTATATTTATACAACCAACTCCTTACTTGGTTTTGGCTAGTTTTTTGAAAGCACAATTGGATAAAGCTATTTGGATATAGTTTAGTTCTTCCTGGGGGATGTTTTCAATGTTTTACATTTATACCACCATTTCTATATTTAGTTGATAGCTATGGTTAAGTTTCTGGAAGCGATTTTGTTTATGGCTGTGTGGATATGGCGTGGATTTGGCCAAGGCTTTTTGGACTTCCTGGGGGATGCAGTCTTATTTTAATGAAGCACAATTGGATAAGGCTATTTGGATATGGCGTGAATTAGCTCTTCCCGGGGGGATGTTTTCTTTGTTTTACATTTTTACCATCATCTCTATATTTAGTGTTTTGGTTTTGTTTATAGAGTGTTTCTTATGAGTGGATTAGAATTTTTGTCGTATGTAATTTTTTGGTTAGTTCCACTACGGCTGCTGGAAGCATTATCTCAAGGCTAACTCTTATTTATGGGTTTTATGATTTTTCGGTTTGACCTCCTTCTGATCTTTGTTGTTATTTTGCCGATGTTGTCGAGGCAATTTGTGAGGCTTTTCTGGCTGCAGGTCGTCATTTCTAAGGCGTTTATTGCAACGACTTCCAGACGGTGTAATTTTTTCTTTTGCGCGGGAAAGGATTGGCTGGAGTTGCTTGAAGCTTATCTATTTTGGGTCACTTGTTTTTTAGTTTTGATGTACCTTTTTGTTTTTCCTTACTTTTTTGCGTTGCGTTGTACTGTGAATTTTGGAACCCCTATGACTATAATTTATTTTTGTTTTTTCGCTGGGATCTGCTATCCCTCCCTTTTTTTAACCTTTTTGTGTTTTAACGCGTATGGAGCCACGAGTTGCTATTTTATTTATATATATATATATATATATATATGTATATATATATATATATATATATAAGTTAATAATAGTGATACTTACGAAGTGATATCAAACATTTAAAGATTATAAACAAAAAATAAAATTTACTTGTCACATATGTAAATACATAATTGTGTGATATGTTTGCAAATGCCCCTAATAATATATAATATGTATGTATATCTCCCTATAAATTACTTATTTTTTCTATTAAGAAATTTTACATTATATGCTCATATTAGTGTAACTTAGAACCCGAGCATCTATATCCCAAAGTTCTTTTCAAATCAAATTATCCCCCTTATGTATATGAGGTCTACTTACTTCAGACATCATAAGCAAATTTAAATGCATCTCATTAGAATTCGAACATTTGTTCAAAACCTAATTCAAACTTGGGGTCTGTTTGGGGCAGCGGCGGAGGCGCAATGCGGCATGTAGACATAGGTATGCGTAGTTTGGGGTGGTGGCGGCAGTTTTGCGGCGGAATTTTTCGCGTTTTAACAAAAATGCGGGCTGCGGGATAGACCCTGCGGCCCGCATTCGTTCCCGTAAGTATTACCAGACTGCCCTCAACCTCTCTCAGCATCTCATCTTCCCCCGCTACTCCGAATCCGAGAGCCTCGTCATCTCCGGCTCCAACCAGCTTCCTCGCCGCTTCACCCGTGTCTGTTCCCTTGAAGATTTCCCCAAGAAGACCAAACAGAGATGCCGAATTTGGAGTTGCTCTACCTAATCTGGTGATTCGGTGAGGTTTCCGGGCAATATATGAAGTGCGAAGTTCGGTTTTAACGAGAAAGATTCGTGGAGATAAAAGGGCTTTATGGAATGAAAATGGAGTGGGTTTGGATATAGGGGTGGGAAGTGAGGATGAGGCCATTTGTTTTGGGAGACTGAAGAGAAGCAGGCAACATAGTATTTGCAATCAAGGATTATGGATTGCTGGCTTGAAGGGATTGCAAGATAGGTAATGTTAATGAAAATAGAAATTACCTGAAATCAATATTAGTTGTATGCATGTCAATGTGCGTGCATGTGTTTGGTTAGTTGTTAAAGCTTCAACCTAATTTATTTATTTTATAAAGGTTTATAATTATGGTATAATAGAAGTTAGGAGCTTCAAAATATTATGTAAATGGTTCAGTTTTTGTAAAAATTAATATAAAAATAATCATGATATTGTTGTGTGAACCCTTAACAAACTTTTGTGCTTTAAGATGTACTGCATTTTTCATGCCTTCATCTCTAGGATGTGCGATGAATTTAGAGGATGTTTGTAATCAAAGTAAGTATTAAGACTCCAAGGGCTTAAACTTTCTCAGAAAACATTTGATGCTCAAGTTAAGAACTATGCTAGTTAAGAAATCAGGTTAGCCAAATTTAAGGGTGGACTTTTGTTAATCAGTTATCTTTTTTCCTTTATTTAAGGTCTAAAGCGAATGAGCTCAGGTTTTCCAAGTGTTGAGCATTCTAGAACTAGAGTGCACAGGGAGTGAGACTGAAAAAACCAAAACAAAACAACTAAAGGTGATCTACACACCTATTTATAACCATTTGTAGGAGCAGTCCTGGCATTTTTGAAGTTTATTTGCGTAGATGTCAGTTTATCGGTGCCTTTTTTATTTTGATTATTATAGTTGAGATAAGCTAACAATGCAGCTTTCAAGCACTTCAGAATACAAATTAGACCTCCTTAATTCTTAATGTAGTTAGGGCTGTCAATTTGGCTCGTTGTTCGTGAACAGCTCGTGTTCGGCTCGTTAAGCAGCTAGTGTTCGGCTCGTTCGTTAAGCCTAACGAGCCGAACACGAACAAATTTTTAAGCTCGAAATGTAAACGAGCCGAACACAAACAACAGTTTGTTCGCTCGTGTTCGGCTCGAAATGGCTCAAAAATATATATATATATATATATATATATATATATTTTTATATAAAAATATATTACATATATTATATATATAATAATATATTATATATATTTATGT